ACTTTTGCAAACTTAATTTCAATGCTCCGGTTAGACAGACACGATCAGAATGATCTTCTCCGCATTCCTCAACATCGAACAATCTACGGGCAAAATATTCCGCTTGATGTTTGTTGCCAGCGATTTAACGAGTCTCGTGACAACTGCGATTTTAATGTATCTAAAATCGTTTTTAAAAATAGGATTAGCTCTAGATTAAGGAATTAAGTTGTCGGTGCGTTTTTTTTATACGAAGACGAGTAAATAAATAAATAAATAAATAATAAAATAATAAATGAACTCTGGCCTAAAAAAATGTATTATAACCCGTCTCCCAGTTCTACTGATAAGAAACTTGCTACCATTGGCATGCCGCCATCACATCCTATCTAAAATATAAAACCGCTGGCGCTAAAATATAGCTACACCGACCGACCTGAAATTTTACAAAGTTACTCTAGGACCCAAAAGGCCTCCGGCAGTGATGCAAAATATCATGACTCTCACGTGACACTCGTCTAAGGATCAACCGACTATCGCTGACAGAACGTTTTGTCACGCAGTGAGAGGCAGACCCATGGCAAACAACAATCACCAGTAATGGTAATGGTCGCTGCACACAAGCAAAACGTTACACTCGCTGCTGATGATGAAAAGCACAACGAAACAGTGAAGACTTCTGCAGTACGATCATGAGAAAAAGCGAAACGACAGACGAAAATGAAAACAATGCCTACGCATTCAAAGTTCGTCTCGGCAGGCGCGACTGTGTGAGTTACAAACAAAGCAGGCAACATTAATCGGAAGCTGTTGGGCTCACTCACCAACACACTCACATTAGCAAGCAAAGCAGCAACTGCTTCAAAACGAGCACAGATGAGTGTCGTGATTGTCGGGAATGATCAGATCGGTGATGGATCACAACCGAAGCCGACATTCACCAGTTGCTTTTTACTTGTTTCGTCAACTTGATAGATGGTCATGGAGAGAACTCGATAGGAATGTACAAAGCGTTACTACCATCAGCTGTTTGACGATCGTGATTGTGATATGTCGCAACTCTGGCCGATGTCTGGTCCCAGCCTAATACATACACGGAATATCACGCATACAATGTAGTGAGGTTGTGCTGAAGACATAATTTTTTTAAATACAATCCGGGTGATTTAAATAGTGTCCTTCAACTCGGAACTTGGAAACTGATTTTCTGTTCTGAAGGTAAGTTCGGTTAGATAAAAAGTTTGCAGATAGATTGATATCCAAATGTTTGCAGTTCCAATTACCCATCACACATAGTTCAGCTAAATATCCCAATGAGTGCATGAGTTGATTGAAACCAGTTCTAAATTCAAAGTTTTTAAGGATTTTTGCAATGTGAAAACACATCCTATTTTTTCGGTAGCATATTGGGGGTGTAATTTCAAAAAAACCAAAATTGACCGGATTACGAAAAGTGGTCTCAGGGACCTCCCTTAGCTCAGTCGGTAAAGGCGCAGCTACAAAGCAAGACCATGCTGGAGGTGGCTGGGTTCGATTCCCGGTTCGGTCTAGGAATTTTTCGGGTTGGAAAATTTCTTGACTTCCCTGGGCATAGAAGTATGATTGGACTTGCCACACAATCATATCAATGCAAAAATGGTACAGGCATCGATAGCTCTCAATTAATAACTGTGGAAGCGCATCTAGAACACTAAGTTGAGAGCACGCAATAAGCTAATATGCATGCAATAAGCTTGAAATGCGAAGAAGAAGAAGAAGACGAAAAGTGGTCAGATTTTGACCACTTATTACTCTGTCAATAGTGGATGGATTTTAAATCTAAACAAGCCAATGGATTAGAAATTTTGCTACAAATCTGCTGAATTGAAGACTTTATCAATTTTCAATAGGTCATTACTGATAATTACACAAATATCCAACTGTTGCAACAGTGTGATCAAAATTATCACCGATTGCCTGCAAACAGCGCTTTCCCTAACACAGATTTCAAAATCGAATTCCATCCGGTCTCACTGAACGGTGCTTATTCAATTACCGCGTGTGGTGGCGTCCGATCGCAGCAGTGCTTTCAGCGCGTAGCGTTGCCCACAAGCAGCGAGCTGCAGCCCACATGAGCGTCCATTCACCAAAGAAGGTGGAAGAAGCCTCACCGCTACTGGTCGGGATCCATCTTCGTGAGTCGCTGGGGGCCATCTATGCCAAGCACGTCACCGTCGTCCCAAACAACATACAGCTCGTCAGTCGCGGCATGAATGTGCTCTGATTTTGATCCAGAGATGATGGATTTTAATTCTTAATACGCAAATCGATGGGAAATTTTTCTACGAATGTGCAACTGTTGCTATGATAATTAAAATTGCCATCGATTACCTGCGAAAAACGCTTTCCCTAACACAGATTTCAAAATTGAATTCCAACCGGTCTCATCAAACACTGTTCATTCAAATCAACGCGTGTGGTGAGTGATGGTTTTCTCCAGTACACAACGAAAGTCTCCCTGCAAGCAGCTTGCTATCAAGGCTGCCCTCAACCGCTGATCGGATCGGATCGCCTAACGTCTAAATTTGCATAGATTTCAAAATTCAATCAGCTCTAAAAACATAATTTCTCAATCTTTTCCTTCACAACAAATTGCATTTTGTCGGAAATCTATTGAAATTTTTGAATCCATCTGAAAATATTTGGATCAATTCATGGTTCCGGAGTTATTCCGGTTCCCGTTGGGGTCACTTTTGTTCTGCAATAAGTATACACACGATGCACATCATGTTTTTTCTCTCAAATGATGTAATTGGACCAATGGAAGCTATACCGACGGTCCACGATCACATTGGGTATCCCGGAAATATTCCGTTGCCTCCGGGGGAGTGGCCAATTCTCAACAAGAACCAAAAAACCTATCATGCGACATATCAAACTTCATGATTTGACAAATTTAGGCCAGTAATGGCCTTATTGAGAGTTCATGGTCACACTAGCCCTCCCAGACATGTTCTGGTGCCCCCGGGGAAGTGGCCAATTCTCAACAAGAACCAAAACCCATCATGCGACATATCAAACTTCATATTTTGACAAATTTTGACCAGTAATGGCCTTATTGAGAGTCCATGGTCACACTAGCCCTCCCAGAAATGTCCTGGTGCCCCCGGGGAAGTGACCAATTCTCAACAAGAACCAAAACCCATCATGCGACATATCAAACTTCATGATTTGACAAATTTTAGCCAGTAATGGCCTTATTAAGAGTTAATGGTCACGGTACCTACCTTTATGCCTTTTGATGCACATTTAAAGCCCCTCCTATTAAGAGAATTATGCAAAAAGAAAAAATCTTTCCGAATTCTCTTAACAGAAGAGGCTTCAAATTTGCTATAAAAAAAACTTAAACGTAGGCACCGTCTGGTAGGCTCAGATTATGTGATTGATGTGTTTTTCCTAATACATATTTAATTTCCGCACTACTATCATCTCCAAGAATATTGAGGAGAAAATTCCACAGCATTGTTCTAATCTGGCTTCCAAGCTTCCAACCCATCGGTCCTTTTCAGGACCACAAATGACTGATAAAAGAGTTAACTAAAGGGTAAGAGCTTGTATCCCAGACATACCGTCCAGGATTGGCTTGCAACAGAACAACAAATTGAACTCTCAAATTGCTTCCGAATTTCAACCTATCGAACTTTTTTACTGATAACGAGTTAAGAAATCAATTTAATACAGGGTGCGTGACGAATTTTTGCAGTAAATGGCATATTTGAGAAAAAATACACCAGTTAGTTATTCTAGCAATGAATTTTGTGCGATTTATTTTCTTTCGCAACATATGGAAGTTCTAAGTAAATTTATTCAAAAAAATTGCCTTCCCTTTCGACGACTGTAGTTAGACGCTTCCGGAAACTGCAGTATGCACGTTTTAAAATGTTTCGATCCATAGATGTCATCACTGCCTTGATTTTAGCTTTTAGCGACTTAAGTGTGGTGTGAGGGGTTCTATTGGTATCCCGTTGGACGACGCCCTATACAAAATAATCCAACGGATTGATATCGGGACTGCTTGGGGCCGAATTTCTTCCTCCCAAATTTACGAAATATTTTCCGTAAGCCATTTCTGTGCTTTATTAGCAGTATGAGCAGGTGCTCCGTCTTATCACTTTCCCAAGCCTTTTTTAATATTATACACTGTTCTTTCAGACACATTTACCGACCGAATTATTTCTTTCATGCATACTCCGGCGCGCAACAAAGCGACAACGGCTGACAGATTGCTCTCTTGTTTCGACATCTTTACGTTTACTCAACATTGTTTGTTTAAATATTACACCTAACAGTATAAGCTATCCAGTGCTGCCAAATATATCTAAATCATGATGCACAAGCATGAGAAATTACTATTTGAAATTTACTGCAAAAATTCGTCACGCACCCTGTATCTACTATACTTTTGCTGTGACATCAAAATTAGCTTTCGTAATCCTACGTCAAATATACGGTCGTGTCTTGAATACAACCTCTATTTTCGTCAGGTTTTTGGAAATCCCGACACATCTTGAACTTCAAGAGCAGCTCCTACTTGGTTCTTCAGTCATTCAATCTTAAGAGTAACCCTAACCTAGCTGTTTCCAAGGCAACAGCAATGGTCACCTGGATTATGAAACGACCCCTCTGGCTGACACGGCTCCGCCTCCAAATGAAGGGGTGTTATTGACCTCATCTCTGTGGCAACCAGCTGAACCGTATTGTTTTTCTCGGTCAAGGGGCCGAACTGATGCTGGTTAAACTTTAATTTTGGATTACAATCTAGAACTCCATCCCAGACGCAGACGGAGACCATCGCCGAACGGTGGTTTTGTCTGTCGAGTTTTTGCTGTGCGGTGAAAGGAACCTTTTTTCGGTGGCTCGGTTTGCCAAGTCATTCCGGATGATTGCCGTATGGCGACTAAATGGATCACGTGGTAATATTTTAAGAACCGTTCTAGATCTCAAACAATACGATCGACTTAACAGATGATGCATAGACTTACCGAGGAGGGCAGGCACACAGGGGTTGAGTGTAGTTTAGCCGGACGTAGACAGCGTTGCAGACCTGCGGAGATATTACGAACCGATGAGAAGAGCACAGGCGGGGGGTGTAAAAAGTTAATTATTTTCCCAAGTAGCTTATAGGTTATGCAATTCAAACAGAGCAGCCGCCTAACGGTTCCGACGATTTCGGGCGATAATTATCACCGGGAAGCAATCGCAACGACCTAGCAGAGTAATCATCGCGCCCAAATTAACAAAACTCGCACGAACAATTTGCACCTCGACCGAATTTTTTTCCGCGCTGTATCAAAACTAATCTTTAAAATGCCCGATCTTGAGCCTCAGGGCGTGCAGTAGGAGTGGTAAGAAACGAAGTAAATCCAAATGAATTGTTTTCTCAACTCGTACGCGCCCGATTTCTGGATCCATGGCACTTCTAACCTACTTTGAGTTGCGAAACCTGTAATTTCTGAAAGCAACTAAATCTTCCACTCCTTGCCATAGGTCATGACGTGGCCTAGTTTTTATTGCTGATTTGCACCAATTCCATCGCGTTTTAATTCGATCCAACAGATTCACTTGTTGGTGCTGGGTGGTTGCTACCGAAGCACCCCAACGACCGCCGCTAACCGACTACTGGGATGCCATTGAACCCTTAATTACCACACCGTTGAACTTCAGCAGTTTGTTTTTTTTTTTTTAATAGCAGGGATAGACGCGTGCCTTCCTTGCAAGGCTTGGCAAATTGTAACCTTCGGGATCCGCCTGGTGCGGGGTAAATTTGCGCACATTCGCGAACCCAGTTATTAGGAGATTCGGACAACCGGACTGAAGTATAGTAGCTAAATGGAAGAGTTTCTTGACTTTTGCACTCACCTGCTGAATCGCGCACTCCGGCAGGAAGTAGATGTGTTGATTGTGCGGGTAGTAGTGGTACTTGGTCGGGGCCAGGCCAACCTGCAAAAAAAAGGAAAAATGGAAAACAATAAGAAACCAGAAAATTGTAATCTTCGCTCGGAAGGCTGGATTAAGCTGTGTACATTATACTTTTTTTTTCGGGCGTTGAATGGTGGTAGATTGCGATTGCCATGATGAGTGGTAGTTTAGGAAGCAGGAGAGAGAGAGAGAGAGAGAGCGAGGGTTTATTTATACATTTTCTGGTCATTGTACCTTGACTACCGGGGCAAGGTGAGAAAGGATGGATGTTTGCACTTGGGTTAACTAAGTAATTGTAGGGCAGCGGGCTAAAATACAGCTATTTTCGCGGAGAGGAAGTTGCTTCACCCGCGTATTGCAGATTGCAGTGGAACGTTGTTTTGGAAGGTATGATTTGGTTAGCGAGTGCCAATTTCATACAGCAGCACCCAGGAAGCTTTTTTGGTAATGAGATTTTATTTTCAAGCGAAGATCAAAAGGTAGCAGGATAGAGTATGGGCATTTGAAGTTTTCGCTGGATCCCAGTTGCCAGTCATTACTTAAGGTGGCAATTTCTTTGTTTTCATGATAGTAGGGTTCAGTAAGATCACATTGATTGAAATCGGATTGTGTTTTTTATTCATTTGATGCTTCATACAAACAACAATAACTAGATACTCAGGAAACATTTTGTAAAAATGATCTCAGCTTTCAGGTTATAATTCCCGACGAATTCGCAAATCGGTTTATTTTTGTATTTTTTGATTTGGTTGAAAATTTGCAGAAACGTTCCTTATGATCGGCAATGCCACTTTGCACCTTCATATCGTCATTTTGAATCCAGCCTTATTATTGAAAAGGGCATATAGGAAAATATCAAGCTTATCTTCAGAAATTTTTTACTCGAAAACTGTTTGCCCGATCGGTTTGGTGTCTTGGGAAATATTGCAGATAATGGAGAGACTATTCGAAAAAAAATATGCACTCTAAAAAAATTATCCAACTTTTTTTTTTAATTTCAAATGAAATCTTAAAAACAATTTTTCGTAAAAAAGTATTTTGGTATTATTTTATTTGTTGATATGTTTTAGGGGACACAAAATGCCATCTATTGCACTATAGGTCAAGATAGAGAAATTATGGACAAAAAAGTTATAATTTTTTCAAAAACTCAAGTTTTTGGAAAAATATACAAAACTTGGCCAATTACTTTTTCAACTTAATATAATTAAAGTACACTAAATTTATAATAAAAAAGCACCGATGCAATTTTTTTTCTAAGTTGCACCGTTTTCGAGATGTAGAGGTTTGAAAGTAGATATTTTTAAAATGTTGGTAGTTTTTGGCCATTTTTAAATGTATTTCGCGGTCCTTAGTTCCGAAAATATTTTTTTTCCGAAAGATCAGAATTTTTTACAATAACAATGCAAATTTTAAATTTTAAAAATATCTACTTTCAAACTGCTACATCTCGAAAACGGTGTGACTTAGCAAAATTTTACCTCGGTGCTTTTTTATTATAAATTTAGTGTACTTTCATTATATAAAGTTGAAAAAGTAATTGGACAAAGTTTTGGATATCTTTCCAAAAACTTGAATTAAAAAAATATTAATAACTATTTTGTCCATCATTTCTCCATCTTGACCTAAGGTGCAATAAATTGCAGTTTTTGTCCCCTAAAACATATAAACAAATAAAAAAAAACTACAAAAAGATCCTTTTTTGAGAATAATTGTTTTTAAGATTTTATTTGATATTAAAAAAGTTGGGTTATTTTTTAGAGTGTATATTTTTTTTAATAGTCTCAATGTTGAAAATTGTCTGGGGAGAATCACCCGGGTGCGAGAGATATCATTCTCTTGGGTGAATCTCTGGTTGTCTCCTCGGAGATTTATCCTGGAACCACTGGAGAGATTGTTAGACACAGCACGACAGAGTGAGAGAGTTGACTGTTTTCTGTTTGTCTGTTTATACACTCACTTCTGTGAGAAAGATGGCAGCGCAAAGGCGTTACTGTTTCTTCAAAGATTCCAGCAGAGCTTAAGCAAACCTCACACGCATCAATATATTGACGCGAAGGGGAACTATTGACAATAATATTGATGATGTGAATTCAGAAATATTGTCAATCTCGAAGTATTGTCGTCAATATAGAATGTATTGACAATACGATTATTCTCAATAAAAGCAATCGTGTAGGGTCCACTTTACGTGAGTGAGTGAAAACATCAATAAAAAAAAGTGAAAAACGTATACAAGGGGATAAAGTGCAAAGTTTTATTCACGAAGAAAAAAGGGCGGTTTGACGACGGTACCGAAAAGGTGGTTGTGAATTTTGTGCTTTACAAGGCAAATGGAAAAACATTCAAAGTGGACACGGTATTCAACTTGAAGCGGGCATTCCAAGTGTCTTCCATCGACGACATTCTCCACGTTAAGGACGGGCATCTCCCTTCGCACTGCCTCGAACCTTTGACAGTCGAAGACCACATGCTCTGACGTTTCATACACCGATGCAGGTACTTTCTGAAGCAGCCGTGGCCAGACAGGAACTGCATTAGGTGGAAGTTGACGTCTCCGTGTTTTCTGTTCACCCAAGTCGAAAAAATCTGTATTTGTCTACGTGTCCATCTACCGTTCTCCGCCGTGTTCCACTTCTGTTGCCACTTAGCCAACGATTCCGCTCTTACAACTTTGTCGACTTATACTCTTCCGGCATCTCTCCGCCTGTAGCACTCGCTGTCCTCCGCCAGGGCGATGCCGACAGGGATCATTCCGGCGATTACGCATACTGCTTCCGACGAGATGGTTCTGTACCCACTCCCGACTCGCATGGCCACCGGAACCGAAACGTACTGTTCAGTTTCCTTTGGTTCTGCTTCGTTTCCTTTGGTTCTGCTTCGTATCCAGCGCTGGAACCCAGGCTGGACCTCCATACCTCAGTATCGACGACAACACACTGGCCAGAAAACCAGCTATCGCGTTGATGGCCTTCGAAGCCTTCTTACAGACATATTCGACGTGGCTGTTGATTTTTAGTCGTGCCCCCTCACGGTGATATCTGCCCGCTGTACCGTTTTACAGCACTTCCGTTTTGTGGTGGGCTATCTGCAGCTTCGCTCTTTGCATCCAGTTACCAATCATGTCGATCGCCTCGGTCGCCAACACTTCCACCTCTTCCAGCGTCTCGCCTGTTACCGTCAAGACGACGTAGTCCGCAAATCTAACGATCTCAACTCTTTTGGGCAGCTTCAGCGTTAGCACGCCATAGTACATCCCGTTCCAGAGCGTTGGACCAAGGATGGAGCCTTGTCGAACTCCCGCTGTCTGTCTGTCGACTTAACAGAAGCAAATTTCAATAATGATGCGCTGATGCACTTCCCGTATTCGCATTTCCAAAATGTGTATATTATGATTTTAAAAATTTAAAAAAATTGAGTACACACTGTACGTTAATAGAAAAAGTAACCTTCAAAAAATCTTTGTATGCAACAAACTAACAACTAACAACAAACTAACAACTAATGTCTTCACCGGGGTGATTCTCCCCGGTGAAGCAAACGAACTCTCTACGGTGCTCCCAAGTGATCACTCATATTCTCCGGTGTGATGGACTGGTGGAGGTGCGAACGTCAGAAACTGTGTTTGTTTCCGAAGTGGAAGAAGCGGTATATAGCGAGGGGGGCGACACATCTAAATCTCAATTCCAGATGCTCAAAAAATCTCACACTAGCGAATAAATCTTCTTTCATTTCTCGCATCTACTTGCATCGCGCATCATTTTTTTGCAGGAAATCTTCAATATCGTGATAAATCTTTTTTCTATCTACTCAGCGTACGCGCAGTTAGCCACAGCAAAACACAATATTTCCTGCGTTTTAGATAGAGTCGTCCCCCTCGGTATATAGTGAAAACAAAATAAAGATCTCTCGGGTGAGTTTGCTTTTGTCGTAGTGCGAGGTGTCTTTTCAACTCATCACCCTGCTTACAATCAATGGGAAGAATGGCATCCCTGGTCTCATCCATTATCTGCAACATTGCCCAAGGCACCAAACCGATCGGGCAAACAGTTTTCGAGTATAAGTTGTCTGAAGATAAGCTTTATATTTTTCTATATGCCCTTTTCAAATATAAGGCTGGATTCAAAATGGCGATATGAAGATGCAAAATGGCATTGCCGGTCATAAGGATCGTTTCTGCAAATTTTCAACCAAATCAAAAAAATACAAACATAAACACCTAGTTAAGTGCAATTTGGGAAATTTTCTGTTAATAATATCTATGTTTTCTTTACGGTCATTCCACAAATTATCGTTCCATAGTGTTTTTATCGTATGAGTGCTTTTATTATATCATATCATACTATAATCTGAACGATACTTCATTCATATTAACGAGGTTTATTTTTAATTTGAACTTCAAGTAACCCTAGGAGCATCAGAAAATCGTGTTCCTGGTAACCTTATTTGCTGTTTTGTTTTGATTAAGCGTGCCGTTTCGCTTTACTCCGTTCCACGATCTGAATGACATTTGAGTCATTTATAGTTTGCACGGCGTGACGTGCAGATTAAAGGGGTTCAAATTAAAAAGTGTTCAAATTAAAAACGGTCAGATTACCGCGGGTCCACGGTACAAGCTCCTAGGAAGTGTAAGCATTTATACTAGAATGACTTAATTTAATTCTTTTGATATCTCTCACTGTCCCATCGTTCCTAGACATATTTTTCGGTGAAATTAAGGACATTCGACTTGGAATCGAATGTGACCGTTTTTTCCATGCAGTTTTTTTTGACGTAGACTACGTCTTACGGGAAGGTACTGGGGGTAAATCGAAAATCTAAAATGTGCGACCGTCACGAAAAGATGTGAGGTTTTGAACGCTTACAGCTTTGTCATTTTTAGATGAACATAAAATCCAAATACACCAATCGATAGGAAATAACTCTCACAATAAATTCTTCTCCAATTTTCCAACAAAAAAATCGTTGAAAAATGTACAAATAAAAAGTGATCATTTTATCACTGTTTTCATGAAATAAAC